TTTACAGACTCACGAGTAGAGTGGAGGGCCACTTCTTGTCGATCTTCTCGAGATATAAATTTCCTCGTTTTTGATGATTTTACACACTAGTTCTTGACAAACGCCATAGGGTCACGAGAATTCTGCTAAGTTGGAGGTCTCTGCCAAATGTCGTATACGATCACCTAGATTAACGCGAATGGCAATTTTGCCAAGATCAAATTTTCGGCAGGCATTTAATTGTTCATTCATTTGAGCATCAACGAACGGAAATGGGTACTCGGTCAATATCTATGGTGCACGGTCACTACTGAAAGCGTGTTTAGTAGTGTAAATTAAAAGAGAAAATTGTGTTCGAAATTAGCGAAAAAAGAGAAGTAATAGTGATTTTCGAATCGTCATCAACTAACCAATTGAAGTAGCTCGCAGCGTCATTGAAGATGGCTTTATCCATTTTTAGTCTTGTGAAACTAATTCACGTAGATTTTTTGTAGGAAAACACCAACAGAACATTTGCGGAATATTGGACATGCAATCAAAATTTTCGTATGAATCCTGGTTATGAAAAATAAATGTTCGTCTTCTTCACGAACCCGTCTTCCTGAACTTTCCTGGACACTTACCCACTATCAGTCACATATAAACGAATGCTATGAAGCGATTCAAGAAATTCTGTGATAGATTTTACTCTTCATTAGACGTGTATCTTACTAGTGAACAAAGAATATGCTACTCGGAAGTCTCATCAGTAGTATCCAACGCTACCCACCTTTCGCTTTTAAAGGTCGTTCGCATGCCACCAATTTTCACTTTCCTCCTTAAGGTCGTCCCCAGCAGTTGATCTATTCGCAGCTCTTCGTGTGTAGCATGCCGCTCACGAAGCTGAGTCCCATTTACCATTTTCGATCCACCACCGCCTTGGTTGTGTAGACGTTCCCCCGGCGGTCGGTAACAACAAACGGCCCATGCCATCGATTTCCCTGCTTCTGTGACCTCAGTTCACGTTTTTTTCACTGGATTATGACGATCCTTCCATTTGATCTTCGCACCTATGGGGAATAGTCAAGCATTTCTACTTGCCGTTTATTGCCTGGTCCTTTCCTGAACGGCAGTCAAGTTTTCTCGAGCTCTCTTTGTTTCTTCCTGCTGCTCCTCCGGAGATAAGCGAGATAGGCCATAACCCAATTCCCTGATCAACCGGAAGGTGCGGATGTCGACCGTACCTCAACATAAACCTATACTTGCTTGTGGTTCGCTGTATAGAAGTACGATGAGCTAGCAACACCATTGGCAAGTTCACTTCCCAGTCACCTATTTTGGCCGCAAAACACTCCTTGATCGTCCGGTTATTACGTTCAGTTAGGCCATTTGTTTGTGGGTGGTATGGTGCCGTTACTGGTCTTAGCCGTTTGATATCCAGCTTCTGCAAGCGATTCCCAGACACTTTGCTCTCGAAGTAAGGCCCCTGATTGTTTGGATCATTTTTGACACCCATGCTTGGCTGCGATGCGATGCAATACCACTCCACTGATCGTCATTGCCCGTTGGTTTGGCACAGCCGCCGCCGCCAAGCGCGACAGGTGTTCTATCATTATCAAGATGTATTGATTCCCGCTGGTTGTCACCGAAAAGGGACCCGTGACGTCAACAGGCCACAACTCGCCAACTTCTGAGACAGGAATAGGTTCCATGGGATGGGTAGCCTTTTTCGTGTCCCGTTTCATCGGCTGGCACCGCTTACAGGACACCACATAATACACCACCTCACTTCTCATCCCAGGTCAGTAGGCCCTCTGCCAAAGTAAGTCTACGTCTTGGTGCACCCTGTATGTGCCATCTAATGGCATTCGACGATAAGCTTCCGTCTCAGGACGCGAGGCAACAGGGGCAGCCCAACATCGGAATCGGTGGCGTTCCAGGAAATTATGCAGCTCCGTTTAGACTTAGCCGACCAGTGTGACTCTGGGACCACACTCTCCGCTCTCAACACTCATTCCATCCAACGAGGCGGCTATAAACTTTTGCAACACAGGATCCTACCGTTGGAGTGGCACCAAACTTCCCGGATCCAGTTCGACGACGAGGCTACTGGCCCCAACCATGATCCTGGGGGCCTCATCTTCAGCCTCTGGTTTTGACAGCCAATCATCCAAGTGGTTCTCCTTCCCTGGCACGTACTGGATTGTTCAGCGTTAGTCAGGAAACGGCTGGCATATTCGCTCTGCTTTAGGACTGGGCAAAAGCCGCGATCACTAGCGTCCGTTACAACAGTGAGCATCTCTCCGACCCTGGGAAATTTGAGGGTCAGTTGTTGATCCGACATCCGCGCTTCAACACGCTCAAATCTTCATGTGCGTCTCCGGTCCATTCGAATTTACGATTTTGACCGAGCAAATCGTATAGTGGCGCAGCGATCTTGTTGAAATCCTTAACGAACCGGCTGTATTATGTTTCTCGTCCAAGAAACTGCTATAGAGATCACTTTGAATTGGGAACAACACAATCCTCGATCTCTGCCAATTTTTCCTACAGTGGACTAACTTCTCCCTGACCCACTTTATGCCCCCGCACAGTNGTGTCACCGAACACCGAGTGAGCTGTGGATTGGCTTCATTCATCCGCAGGCCAGCCTCCCGGACCCGTTTCAATACGGCCTTCAAATGAACTGCGCGCTCTGGTTCCGAATTGCTGTACACAACGATATCGTCTCCATACATGGCAACAATCTGGAGTCACTTCGTTAAACGAAGCATCAAGCACCGGAATATAATGGTGCCCCAGACAAACCAAACGACATTCGTCTAAGTTGATACTGAGTGTTTCCAACCGTGAATGCTGTTTTCTCCCGGTCCTCTGTCTTGGTAGATGGTTGCCAGTATCCGAAACGCAAGTCGAACACCGTGAAATAGGAGGAATGCTGGAGAAAATCGAAAGTCTACGCAACCGAACCGACAGCTACAACCCGGTTTATGGTGAGTTGATTCAGACGCCGGATATCCACGCAAAACCTATATTTTCCGTTCGCCTTCCTTACAAGCATAACCGAGGAGTTGTAGGCACCATTGTCTCCCTCGGTTATGCCATTTTTCAACTTCTCTCGAATTTGTTTATGGACCTCTTACCGTAGATAGAGCGGCTGCGGTCGTGGGCCGTATGACGAAAGCGTTCTGACGAGAGAGTGATTTCGCGTTCAATCCAGAGGCAGAAGCCAAACGGATCCTCATCGCCCGTGAAAAGTTCGGAATATTCCTCGACCACAGACTGTACTGACGGCACGTTACAAGACGGAAGCTTTCGGACATGCAGCTCACTCACGGCAGCGCTTGGATAACCCTCAAGCTTGACTAGTCACCAGTCTTCCCCGCTTTGGGTCAACCACGGAATCTGTGCTCTTGGGAGAATCTGCCCCCAATATTGTCTGCTCTATGTCCGGGCTGTTCAAGAACGACTGCTGCACGGCCATGTCGCCTAGGCGTATGGAGTGCACCGACAGTCCGTCGATCTTCAGACGATATCCACCCACTGCTCTCAGGTCTAAAGCGCACACTCTGCATTCTTTTTGGTTCTCTCACCGCCTCAGCGATACCCCTGCTCCTGTATCACGGGATCTTCATCCTTAACCTGGTCACGGCAACAAAGGGAAGAAGTTTTCACCTTCGGAGTTATTGGAAAACAATAAGTGAAAAGTTACAGATGACTGGATAGTGAAGCTAATTCTCATATGCATATAAGAACTGAATATCCGTCTTCTTCTCGAACGCGTTGACTGAAAACGAATACTAAAAAACGACTCCAAAATCTCCGTGATATATCTCACTTTTCAAAAGACGCGAAGCGGAAAATCACATGCTACTCGGATGCTTCATCCCCAATATCCAAGAACACACAAGAACACACTTCACACTGATATGTGAAGTCATTTATGACGTCAATATTTTAATCTCGAAATGATCGACATCCAATAGCTGTCCAAAATACTCATGAGTCTCTAAAAGGCATTCTCATACGAAGATACTACTAACAAGACGTGGCAAGGAGCTGGGTAATTGGAATGATTGTGCAACGCATTTCGTGAGACCTTGAAAATGTGCGAGGCTGGTGTAATGGTTATCATGGCAGCCTTCCAAGTTGTCGATCCGGATTCGATCCCCGGGCCTCCCAGTCCGTTATCACAAGGCCGATGGGAATCCGCGTATTTCGCTCGCCCACCGTTTTGTTCTCACCGATCGCTTCTTCTATTGCCAGTTCACTAGTCTCGTGCCGGTCTGGTCACGGAGAATCAACATCAAGCACGACAATGATCATTTCACATACCACATCTAGACAAACGCTATAGGGCCTGAAGAATTCAATTAATTTGGATTTCTATACCAAAAGTCGGATACAGTGATCTAAATTGACGTGAGAGGTAATTTCGCCAAGATCAAATTTTCGGCGAGCATTGGAATTTTTCCTTCCAGCATCAACCAACGAAAATGGGTAATCAGCCAATATCTTTGATGGAAGGTCACTACTCATGGCGTATTTAGTAGTGTAAATTAAAAGAGAGAAAAAACATTCAAATTTCTGCACGAAAATGAGAAATAAAAAGCTTGTGGTGATAGTCATATTCCAGTAAAAGAACCATACTCACACAGTCCTCCAATAGCGTGCGAGCACAGAACTGCCAGCTATTTCACTGATACCGTTCTCCGGACTGGGTGTTGTTGATTACCGGCGATGAGACTGGTATAAGTGCAGCAAAAGAACCATACTCACACAGTACTCCGATAGCGTGCGAGCACAGAACTGCCCGCGCGCATCAGGCAGCGCACTTCGACCTATCTAACTGAAAAAGTTTTCCGAACTGGGTGCGTGATGTTGAGTCTTGGCGACCGGACCGGCACGGGACTGGTATCAAGGCAGTAGAAAAAGCGATCGGTGTGAAAAAACGGCGGGTGAGCGAAAAACGCGAACTTCAAACGACCTTGTGAAAGCGGATTGCGAGGCCCGGGAATCGAACCCGGATCGACAACTTGGAAGGCTGCCATGATAACCATTACACCAGCCTCGCTCATTTGCAGAATTTTTGTGTTGGTTCATCTGCTTTTAATGTTGCTTTCATGGTTTCTTTTGAGTTTTTCTGGTCGGCACAATTTGTGCAAGGCTCATTACACTGTCTATTTGGCGCATGACTTACTTCCGAACATTCTCTATCTCACTTACATCCTAATGGATTTTTAATTTTCATGTAATTCTCGTGTAATTCTCTTCGTTAGGCCAGTCTCGTTGCCTTGGTTACGTGTCCTGGTTACCCATCCAGGGTGTAGAGTCTGAACCACACTTTATCCTTTGTCAACAAAATGTCGCAGTTTTGGATTTCCTCACACTTGTCTGCCTATTCAGCTCCCGCATATTTTCACTACATGGTTCAAGAGACCTTTCTCACACATTTTATCTCTGTTATTCTCTGGCCCATAGAAGATGTCTCAAACTGAAACCAATAAGGTGTTGGTACATTCCGTATATAAAAGTGCATCACTAGAGAACCAATCAACTGTCTTCTTCAGATTCACAAAGCACTTTAATCTAGTGATCACAAGGACTTTCCATTCAGTTGATTTAAATTCTGCGTGTCGGTTAGTGCGGAATCGTTAAATCCAAGCTCCAGTAAAGAAATGACCGATCTTCTTGGAAATCGTGGAGTGAAATTAGATTCGGTCATACTGACAAAGGTTAACCCTTCTCCCACACCCGTGAAGTCTACCCGGATAATCTGTGATCGATCAGCAGAGAAGAAGTACCAACTGGGTGATAAAAATAAGCGGAACATTTTGGCCAATCCGAATGATGGCTCTGTGCATGCAGTGCGTTGGAATAAATCAATACGGACCCCAACAACACAGCCTAAGACCTATTACGTGAGCGGCGGAAATGGATCAGCCATGTGAGTTCGGTTTCTTTAAAGGGAGTTTAACTCCCTGTTGATATTTCACAGAGGATTCGACTCTTACACTCATATGCATACTGATTTGGCTTCCATGAAAGGCTCATCTGAATCTGAGCCGAATCTTTCTGGAACTCGGACACCAGGCCTGCCTGATGAGCTCCTAAAGTTGTCGAAACCGGCTGTGGTTCGCTGAAGAGTTTATGGGCAGTAGGGGAACTCGGACACCAGGCCTGCCTGATGAGTTCCTAAAGTTGTCGAAACCGGCCGTGGTTCGATGCAGAGTTTTCTGCAACCTTATGGGCAGTAGTTTTCACAAACTGGTGTCAAGCCCTTCCACAGCGCACCTCTTAAGCCTGCCAACGTTTATATAATTTATCAAGCTCCTGTCACAACGAGACTATTGTTGGTCTGTGAGATGCCTTCATACTCAAATCAGATGTTCACTTAGGTCAGTAATCGTAGCGACTGAAACATGAGGCGGCCTGGTGCAGCACATTCAGTTGCCTGAGAACATCATAAACGAGAGATTCAGCTGGGTTCCAGGTGAGTCTCTCGAAAGAACCGAATTAGTTTGCAAATGAGTGTATATTCGCTAATTTCGTGCAACTTGGTTTCAAGTGGAACATATGGTTGACGAAAACCCGGAGACGGCGCCTACCTGATGAGCCCCAAGAAGGGCAAAACCGGTCGTGGGCTGTCGATGGATTTTCAGCAACCTTATGAGTAGTACATTACAAAGATAGGTCATTAATGGTTCATAAGCCCAGGAGTTCGAGTAAACTGTTCCCATTAGCAGTCTTAAAAGTACGCACATCATTACACCTCTGGACAATCACCCAGATTCAGTGCGCTGAATTTCTCGCCTTTGAACTGAACTAGACTTGATGGCTCAAGTGGTTAGAGCCCGAATTCACTAACCGGAAGGTCCGTGTTTCGAATCCGACCTCTGCCTCTCGACTTCCCCTGTCTATGCTTGGGCAACCTGGCGCTATCTCAGCCCTCGTGCTTCCTTCTGGTGGCGTGTCAGTTAGGCACCGAAGGGGTGCTACAGATGAATGATTATCTAGCCTTGATAAACACAAAGTGGGAGGAATTACTGACAAACAGAGTGAAGTTCAGTGAATGGATCGCCAAGACTTCGGGGTTGGGGAAACCAAACATGTGTTCCTGCCCACATATCTCTGGTTTCCATTTTCTAAAGACATCGAAGGACCAGCGATTTCCGAAATCAGCTGTCATGCGTCACGACCTGATTTCTAACACGCGTCGGCTAGATGGCCACTGATAAGTGTAGGGAGTGGGCCGATCGACCAGTTTATCAGTTTCCCTAAGTTAATCCGCCTCAACTTAGTCAAAGTCGTCTCACCATCCTACCCACGCAGGTGGCCAAACACACACACACACCGCTGTTTGCCTGTTCGTCCAGCTGTAGCAACTTTTTGGTGCCTAGCCGCCGCACCACCCGCAGGAAGCACAAACAAGAGAAACAGCAGACTGGATCGGATTTAATGGAGGAGTTATTTTGACGGGCAAGGCCTGAACGCAGTTTTTAGTGTGAAGGACGCCTAGTCTTGCAGCGTAGTAAGCGCGTTTTGCCGCCGATTCGGGGTGACGTTGCATTAACTCACTCACTGCACTTTCAAACACCGGAACCCAGTGAGTTTTGGAACTTGAAGCACCCTAACCACTTTGGAAATTCCCGTATATTTTTCCCGTACAAATGTCCGTGGACAACTGATCGAACGTATTATTTCACTTTGTAAGAGAAGCGTTCTTTGAACACTTTCTTCTGAATTTTCCTGCAGCAGGTGACCGGGATGATGCAACCAATTACCTCCGGAACAGTATACCAAGTTGTAACATTTTGTGCTTTTTTCAACCCAACACCGACATGGCAGTGTGAACTGCAGAAGTTTTCATGGATTCGTAAAGTCGTTTACGTAACTTGCATGACATGAATTTGGAACTAAACAACTGAACGAGTCGGAAGAAATCTGCTAATAGGGGTTATGAAGGCCACACATATTTCCCGGTGGACCACGAAAGAAGTACGCGGTGATGAGATCTTCTAATCAGAGGATTCTGTGGTCAGTTCATTCAACTAGGGTCCATCTGCTTAAGGTCAAATATACGTTGCACGATGGAATCACCTGCTAACTGGCAGTGAGTTAAAACCTAGACACTTGCAAACATATTCGTACCTGATAAACTTTGCCAAGACCGAAACTCCAATCTAGCGCTTCCGCCATTTGGTGTGAACTCACCAGAGTTATTGCTATGGGACAAGAAGTGGAATGTTCGAACGACGGCGATGTAAATACGTACATTTCATCCAGCTGCATTCATCTGACTGAAACATTGATGAACTCAGTAACCACCGAGAGAATAGGTGAGCTAAGACAGAAACTAAACGCATTGATTAAAACCCATACGAAACGTATTTGCGAACCTCCAGGGATTACTCCATCCACAAATAGACATAATATGAGTACCGCGAGCCTTTCGAAGTGTTCAGGTTCTCGTCACGGGGTAGGTTTGACGATCAAAAGGAAGAATTGGGTTCCAAAGTCTATGGTACTACTTATAAATTAGTAAGCAAAATCATACGGAAAACCTTGATTATCCACAAATACATTCAGCTGCATAACAATTTTGGTCTTCACTGGCGACTCATTTGAATCCTAGCTGAAGCTCTGGTTTATCATGTCAAAGTGTTTTCAGCAACCTCATGAGTAGTATGTTGCGTCCATGGTCTACGTTCATCGCTTAAACAATTTAGTGGCGCTGTTGCTGATCTGTAGAGCACAAGGCGGAAGCCTACACTCCACAATGAACGGAATGTTGGTTCGACAGTTTGAGTTGCAGTTGTCCCTCCAGAGGCTGGTCTCGTGATTCTGAATGGCGGTGTGATCACGTGAAAATCAGGGCTGGGAAAGCCACAGCAGGCCCAGAAGACAGGGCACTGTAAGTACACCAGCATTGTCAAGTTGTGGCGACCAAGTTGTGCAGGGACCATGACGGTGCAAAAGCGGTGGAGATCAATAGACACATGGGCGGAGTAGGCAAATGAATGGAAGATTTATCAAATTAGATTCAGTGACAGACTTACTTTCTTGAAGGAAACTCTTCGACAGACCACGGCCGGTGTCGCCCTTCTTGGTGCTCATCAGGTAGGCACAGTCCCCAAGTTTCCATCAGTCTTATGTTCAACTTGAATCCGAATTGGACTGTTTTCGGAAAATACACCAATTTGAAAATCAGTTTAGTTTTCACGAGAGACTAAAGTGAATTGCTCGTTTATGATATTCTTCAACTGAATGTGCTGCACACAAGCCGCCTCATGTTTCATTTGGCAAGTAACTCGAGATATCCTAGTAAAATTTTCATCAAGAAAACTACTCACAACTTTGCCGGAAACTCTTCGGCAGCCCACGACGGGTTTCGCCCCTCTTGGGGCTAATCAGGTAGGCCCAGTCCCTGAAGTTCCGTGAAGCTTATGTTCTACTTGAACCTAAACTGGACAGTTTTCGAGGAACACACATTTGCGAATCACTTTGGCTTACTTTCTATCAGCTGCACACTGTGGATGACCTGCCAAACGGCTCACATCTAATCTGAATAATTAGATTCCCAAGACAAACCATTCCCCCTCAGGTGGAAGTTGAATTAGAATGATCTCCCCTCTGATGTTTTCTCTTCAGGACAGACATTGTATGCTGATACACCTTGCCAGACAGACGCGTAGGACATACTGCGGTTGTTAGTTATACTCAGTGAGTAGCAAAAGGCATTTAGTAACGGTGCCATCTTATTACTCAAGAGGACTTGTGACATCTCCCGGTGGATCGCGTTCCATGCAGTGCATGAACCTGGGGTTCATTCAAATACCCATTCTCATGTTTGAAATATTAAGGGTTGAAGCTAGGGAATAGCGTGAAGCAAGGCAATATTTTTTCACTCACCAATGTTTATCATGTGTGTTCATTTTCATATGAAGATTCGTCCCATTGATAACGTTTTAAAGGTTTTTTCGTCGAGTTTAGCTGAACGGTAAGTGACTGACTCTTGGTAACTTAAAGGACAGCCGGTGGTTCTGTAGGAGAATTCTGAAGAGTAGGTGATACTACATCCCGTCTTATCACACTGGTGATCATCAGCTTGTGGCGGAACGGTTTAATTCTTGACTGATAACCGGCGGGTGCCGGGTTCGAGACCTCCTGAATACCAAGAGCCCGCACTTTATACAATATGGCGAAATGTACCCCACCCTCCCAAAGTTTGCTCGTCAACACCCGAGTACATATGGATTCTGATTGCTCCAGTGAAGATACAGTTCTTCCTTCGTCTTGGTCTCCAAAGTGGAATCACTTACGTCGAAGAAACGTGTTGAGATATCTGAAAATATTCTCTCTATCTGAGAAGAATTTGTCGGCGCACAGAGTTTCATTTCGAAGCACAAAACCATACATCCTCCATAAGTTGGAGTTCAACATGGCTCAGTGGTTGAGGCGCGACTTATTGAGCGAAAGGTCAGTGTTTCGAATCCCACCTCAGCATCTCTTTTGCTCCCGTTTAGACATGAAAAACCCGGCAGCATTTCAGCCCTTTTAGTGCCTCCTTCGGGGGGTGGGGGTGGATGACAGCTGAGCGCCGGACAATTATTTTGATCAGTACTATTAATGTTACACTGGTCAGACAAAAACTCGGAGATGACGACACAACCAATTTTAACGTTTTTTGTGAGTCTAGGAGCTGTGTTTTGTCTGACGGATCACACATGTGCCTACAATTTCGGCTACAAGTGCGCGTGTTTGATAATTGGACGAACATGAATACAACCTGATGTGGTTGAAGTTCGTAAGCCTGGAGCGTGAAGCAGGTGGTAGTCACGGAGACGAAAATGGATGAGAAATTGTAGTGCACATGTTGTCGAATAAGTTTGCAAGTGTGAACAGGAATGGTTACTTAATTTGAGTTTTTGTGACGAGTGACTCAGTGAGTGACCGCTAGACTTTACTCGAGAGTTTCTGTGGGACGATCAGTTTGGAAAGTCTGTTTCATGTCAGACTGGATAGGTGGTCACACTTCAGCGCCAAATTTGACACGGAAAACATCGTAGTGACGTCAGTAACATCCACTACTATTCTGTTAGAGAGGTGCCTCCCTGGCAGGGAAGCCGAATCGAATAGGTACTGTTTGTAGAGACATAAATTGTTTTTAACGCTTGTTGTTGAAGACAGAAGCTTCCAGTAGTAACACTGCAGTGACGAAGTTGTTCCCTATTCTGAATGAACACCACAGGGTTGAGGCAGTGTTGAACCGTCTGGGTTGGGTCCGATATCTGGACAAGGAGAGCGCGGTCCAGTTTCGCTGGGTTCAATGCCATCAGCAGATTCACTATGCCGACTTCAAAGAAGGTTTACATCTGGTGAGTTGGTTTCTACTATTAAGCCGAATTTGGTATGCTGGAATCATTTACTGATACAGTTTTCAGAGTTTTCTAGGTAAATCTGTTCGTACTGCAACCCTACCTCATATGACATTTTATTTTCGTTTATCGATCATCACACTTTGGTGAGAATGAAAGGAGTAACTGTTTACCACCCGGACGACTACAAAGGTTGCATTTAAATATCGATCTATTTCAAACCACGTAACTATGATCAATACCGCTTGGTTGACTTTCGTTGCAAAATTTTTGAAAGAAACAAATGGGTTCGCTTTTTTACCTCTTGCGATCTGTTGACACAAGTAATCACCCAGAAAAGGTAGTACGGCTGACCACAATCAACTATAACATACATTCAATTTGTTTTTCACTGGAGACTCTATTGAATTTCTCGTTTCTGATGTCCCCAAACTGAAAGTGCCGGACTGTTTTCGAGAAAAATACTCATTTGCAAATCAATTTGGTTTTCACGGGAGACTCAATTGAATCTCTCGTTTATGACGTCCTCCAACTGAAAGTGCTGCACACAGGCCGCCTCATGATTCAGCTGGCACGATATTCGAGATATCGCAGTATATTTTCACAAAGGAAACTACTCACAAGGTTGCTGAAAACTCTTCGACAGCCCACGACCGGTTTCACCCTTCTTGGGGCTCATCAGGTAGGCGCAGTCCCCGAGTTTCCGTGAACTTCTTCTTGAATCCAAATTGCCAGCGAGTGTATTTGGAGTACTTGGCTAACTTTGGACACCAGTTGTTAGGTATGGTTTACAATATCCAAGACGTAAAATGTTCTGATCAAAATCTGACGAGTTATTGATTTATTTTGGAAGAAATACGGGACCTTAACTTTGATAGCAAATGCTGGATGGAGGGAAAGAAGATGAAATGTCTTTCTGTCCGTCCGTCTGTATATCGTTGACATGCGACTAAATGTTTTTTGGTGGACCTCCAGTGCTCAGGCGACCGCAGTCAATTCGGTTTGACCAAATGATACCAACGCGTTTTGCTTTTGCACAAGTGGACCTCAGAAGGCTAAGTGTCACACAACACATGTGCAGGCAGCACCTACGACAAGGCAACTGTTTTATGAAGCAGTCATTGGATCTACCTAGGTTGATTGTGGGCGAAAACAGCGGGTTTTTTAAAGGTCGCTCACTGGTACGACTACCGTTGGCGACCTTGTTCAGGACAAAATAAATCTAGACGAAACAGAGGTCAGTTGGTACCTGCCTCTGTGCAATCAGTTATTTAGAGACTGTTCAGTTGTTCAAAGTGAGAATCAAGTTTGTGTGATAAAAGCTGTCAGGTGGTTACGCTATTTTTTGGTGTTTGTAGGCCCCGACCGCGCAGCGGATATGGGCCGACGGCAGTTTGCACGTGTGGTTCCAAAGCTTTCGTGTAGCGTTGTTCTGCGTGCACCATTAAGTCCTTGTAAACTGACTGAGCCTGGTCAGATCAATCATCGTGGTCAACCACCAAGCTATACATCTCGTTTTTGAGTCGCGAGGGAATTCGAGGTGGGAAACCTGTAAATCCCTCGTGTAGTGTAATGCACATTTTTAGGTGCCTGCTTGTTTGCCCTGCGTGAACAAATACTCTCATCCCCACAACAGACCTTCAACACAAGATCAGTCTTATTCCCCGAATTAATGGAATGCTCAGGGTGCAACACATGTCTTCTAATCTCACTGTCAATTCTGAAGACTGTGTGTAAGTAAATTCCTGAAGAATTAGCACGAATTCGTCCTTGCGCGATCTGAACAGCTGATATGACTGTTCTATTTTCTGAGTCTCGCTCTGCTTGCCACTGACCGAGAGCTTTCTCATTGAGAGGTATTCACTTGTTATTCATCTGCGGGATCCATTAGCCGCACAATGCTCCTAGGTGCAAAACCTTTAGGAGTGGACTAAAACTTTTTGAGCCAAAATGTTGCATTTTGATGAGTGTTCGCTCAAAACAAAATCCAACCTAATGTATTTTCATTGTCCACTGAAGCGATCATACCTCTAGAGGAAAAGTCTGGTGGAATAATTCTCCAGCATCGCTGGGATGCTTAAATGGGGCTCGAAAGTTTGGACTGGTACTCTGAACTCGGTTGTCCGGTTGCTTTGGTCCATCAGGGACACATCATAGCTTTCGAAAGTTCACTTCCATTGTACGAATACTGAGCGCCGTTCATCTGCAGATTATCCCTTACGTTGTTTAACTCGGGGGCTATAGAGGCCTGACCAGAACGTATCATTTAAGCTTTATTTATTGGTGAGCTTACAGCGATTTATCCTCAGTTCCAAGGATATCGTGAAACTAAATTCAGCTATCTTCCACAGCGAGTCGGTTTACTATGAAACGTCACCACCATACCTGGTTTGTTGGCTCTGAAATGACATTCCAAGAGGCTAAGGGAAGCCGGGAAATCTTCTTACGCTATTGAAAATTCATCAACGTGACGCCAGATACGTTGCAGACGTGGGATCCGATTCAGCATCTGTCTTTCTAAGTGTCCGATAAAACTGCCCATCGAGGTTGGTGTGACCTGGAAGCACATGACAAATCCATTATTTTTCTGTACCACGTCATTTTGAATATAATGTTAGTCGATCTCTATTACGCGAAAATAGCTCAGTCGTTAAGGCGTGAACTTGTTTGTCGAAAGATACGTGGTACGGACCCAACCTCAGGCTCCCTTTTGGTGCGACTAGGCACCCAAAGGGTTTTGCAGCTGAACGGTTATGATTACTGTCCTAATAATTGTATCGTTCTTGGACAAAGCTCGATTCCAGACCGCATATCGGTAGTGACAACTTGATGTTGGCGCATAGAAATGTCTCCTTTTCTAACAGATGGTTCGGAATTTCAAAGCTCTGAGTACTGGTGTATATAGAAACCCATCTGCAGTTGTGAGGAAATGACAAAAAGGGTGGAAATGCGAGCAGAATGTATTCGTGCACTGATTCATCTTTGCGCCAGTCAAAAAATAAACAGCCGATCACTACGACACGGGGCCATCTTTTCGAGTCATAGCACGAATCAACCATTCGCATAGGCTGAAGTTTCTTGAGGCAGTATTAATTAATCGATTCAGGCATGTTTTATACTATCAGAAAGGCCCGAGTATCAGTCTGAGTGTTACCTTAGTTTTACTGGTTCACTATATAGACATACAACCAACCCCGTTTTGGGTTTCAATTCATTTCGGTTTACACGTATCGGTGAGTTGAATTTATCGGGTAACGTTCTTTTCAATGCTTTGTTCTGAGAGGCACAATGCTTTAATGGTGTTGTAGCACGAGTTGACTTACGCCCACTGAAAGTGAGGATGGGAACATGAGTTTTGGGCATCGGTTTGAACTATTTTTGTCAAGATCTAGTTCACGTACACTCAGCTGGAGGACATCAGGAACGAGAGATTCCGCTGGGGTAAGTTGGGTATCTCGTTTAAGACAAATTAGTTTCAATTTGGGTTCATTTCGCAAACTCGTACGAGCGGAGGTTGACGGAAGCCCCACTCAACCCCTCACTGACGATGTCTGTTCGATTGATTGTGAAATGACGTTTCTAACTTCGGCAAAAAATATCAACAATCAGGGAAACTCTAAGGTTACGCTCAACCTATGAGTTCCAAGAAGCATCGTTAGGCGGTTACAAGTAACTCTATGGATAGTATTTTCTACAACACAATGAGCTTTATAGTTCCAAACAGAGTCAGTCTCGCTTCGATCAGAGTTCTACTCAGCGTCAATGTAGTTTTGGATCCATCAGAAATACGTCATCGTGACACGGCGACGTATAGTCGCAGTCTTCGTCAGACGACACAGAGGGACTTCTTGCTCAAAGTTACTTTGATCAGCTACCGACTGAGAACAGAAAAAAACTTGTAGCAGGGAGCCTCGAAGTTTCCCAACAACCTATTATCAGTTACATGAGGGTAGAATGAATCTCCGTAGACTTTTTCCCGTGTAGTTTCAGAGGTTGGACAGAAAATTCTACTTTAAATTCTTTCACTCTGTCTGTAAATGTCACCTCAAGTGCAGCGAAATGGCCAAGCTCAGCAACCGAGCCGACTACCGACTAAAGAACCACATCAGATGAATGACATTTGCGTACCGGAACAGAATTTCACCGAACGATGCGCATCTGAGATCGGCCGAATATCCCGTGAACATAACCGATCTTAGGACTGTACTATTATTTCACGTTCTAAAGGAAAACCACGCGACTGGTTCCAGATAACTTCTGAAGTCTAAATTTGTAGTATCTGATAATGTGTTGTTCTACAGATTGACAATTTTCCTAACCACCGTCATTCAGAAAATTCCCGGTGTCTGAAAGAACGTTCTCTTTTCTGGGTATTCACCTCTCTTCATAGAGGTAACACTTTGTCAGATGAGCGGAATATTACGTGTTTCATTTAAAACAAGCAATTTGTCATCTTGTGGTTCTCAGCCCACAGTCAAAATCAGTGTGCAACTGAATGTAGCTCGCGAATTCCCCACAATTTGGGCTCAAGTAGACCCTAACTTTGCTGAAAATTCAGGACTTGCACCTGCCAAATGAGCCATAAGTAGGTCAAAACAGGTCGTGTGTTGTCAGTGAGTTTCCAGTGAGTAGTTTCGTTCAAGAAAATCACTTCCACTATTCTATATCACCCAAATGTTCTACCTCCGTGACATACCGCGGTATCTGTTTCCAGTCCATTTCAGTGAGATGAATACCAATAAGGAGGAACGATAAGCTCATCTGGTCTTCTACGTCCATCGGTCCTTACTGTCACATGACCTTGAGAAAAATGGGTCAGCCCTGGATGAAAAGTACATCTAGGAGCTTTCTGGTATGAATACATCTACAAAGTTGTGCGCGCTATCCTGGAAACTGTTGGGTGTTACCAAATCGATAGCATGTTGACCGGCTCAATACGGATTACCAATCACGTGGAATACTTTACAAATAGTGCAGATAGAACCGTTGAAAGATTCGCAACTCAGTAGTTGTTAGCCGAATTTGTGGGACTGATAGACAGTCACAGAACAGACAGGTTGAGTTTCCCTTAAAAGATGTACACGAAAATTGTACTTGTGTCCGAAAAACTGTTTAAAGTGTATCGCATTTCTTCTTATTACGGATAGATTTTTTAAAAACCGACGCTTTATCGTTCATCATTCCATTCTAGTTAAGTGCTTTCACGCGGACTGAATTCACCAAACCGAATCGAGATTTACGTGGACTGAATGATACTGATTGTTGCCTTAATGGTACAGTTCCGGTCGATTGGACCCACTTCATGGCTAGCGTTAGTTTTTTTGAACATTTAACTGCCATCTGACGGTCTTCTCGCTCAATGTGTAGATGAGTAGACGGACAGAGACCACTAAAATGGAACGAGGGTGAAGCGACAGTTGTTAATAAAAAAATGAGAAGACTTCGGGGTCTAGCTTGATTCCGCCAGAATAGTTCGGAATCGTACATTTCTTTCGAGTTCACGCGTGAGCGGACCTGGACTTTACTTCTAGGTTTGCACAATCGATGCGGTCAGACACGAATGTTGCGTTCGTTCAGTCTTTTTCGGTGTATGGCCAACGAGTTCTGAGTAAGATGAACAGGAAACTGGTCTTTGATGAAGTAGCAGGCTGGGCCATGTGTTACCCGCGTGCCGAGAACATTGCTGTTTTCCCTGCCTGATTCGGAGTGGTAGGTAAATAGAATTTGATTTGAGAGAATGGGATCAAGGATGCTACGAAATATCTGGGTGCTTTTTGGTGATGTTTGCCATCCAAATGTGGTCCGTGTGACCCTATGTGTGCTTGACTGTGAGCACTGAAGGATATAGCGGTTAACCGATGTCAATGGCGTCCATTCGATATAACACATACGCAACAAAGGCTGTCGGACACTGCCTGAATTCCGCAACAAGAGTCTTTTCGAACGGTGTGATCCTCGGTTTACTTGGAACCGTTTTCTGCTTACCACCCGGGTGGATCAGATGGCTTCCGCCTCTCCGAGATAGTGTGGCGAACGCGTCCCATCCAGCAGTCTGGCTGAGCGTTTGAGGCGTAGGCACCTTGAATGTTTGTAATTGGCTAGTTCCAGATCCCCTCTGTGCCATTTCTTTCTTGTTTCCATTACGGGGCATTACTGAGATAAACTAGCATGGTTCTGCGGTACTAAAGCACCGGTGTTCTCATCTGGTTGGTGTTTCTGTCAACGACCGTGACGACTGTTGTGTGGAGCGCATTGCCAGCACCAAGGTTATTTTCACTTGGTCAGCTGAAAAGCGGGATCTATTGAGGCAACATTAGTCCTATCTGGACAATTTAGATCATCAACTCCTAAGGTTTGTAGGGTAGTCTTTTGGTGACCGCCCTTCTATATGTCCTTAAAGAGGTCGATTACTTGTGGGTGGGCAACGTTAAGAGAAGTTGCCTGGAAACATCACAAACGGGAGATTCAGCTGGGTACAGCTGAGTTAAAGAGGTCGATTACTTGTGGGTGGGCAACGTTAAGAGAAGTTGCCTGGAAACATCACAAACGGGAGATTCAGCTGGGTTACAGCTGAGTCTCTCGAAAAAACAAATTAGCCTGCAAATGAGTGTATATTCGCTAATTTCGTGCAATACGGTTTCAAGTAGAACAAAAGGTTGACGGAAACCGGAGGACTGCGCCTACCTGATGAACCCCAAAAAGGGCGAAACCGGTCGTGGGCTGTCGACAGATTTTCAGCAACCTTATGAGTAGTACTTTATAAATATGTACATTAAGAGAAGTTTTCTTATAACTGAACATTTCGTTCACCGTGGGTCAACTTGGTCGGCCATGAGGTTGAAGATGTCTGTAGACAGCTAGTTTTTATATTTTCAACGCCCGGGTTTCATTCTGTAAGGTTAAACTTTGGGATGATTTCAACTTGTAACAAAAAATGCCACATGTTCAGACGTCCCAGAAATCTAGCGTAAATAGAGGACCGTTGGGTCGGTTTCAACCCAAGGTCAATGCATTTAACGACGTCACATTGAAATTATACTACGATAACCTCAGCAACTCGACTGCTCTTGTTTCCGTTTCGGCAACATAGCAGTATTTGGTTATTTGTCTGTTCCCTTGCTGATGTCACCTCGGAAGTATACCACGATAACTCGACCATCCCACCAACTGAAAGACGAGACGAACTTTGTTCAGCGCATTCAGTTGACGAATTTCATAAGTGAGAGGTTTGACTGGGATTGTTACTTTGAAACCAGTTTAATGTCTAAATGAGTGTAGTTCGTTGATCCCTCGGGAGGCTCGATCACTACATTGAATTACTTCAATAGAGGCGTTTGCAGAATCCGTCACGCAAAGCAGCCTGTACTTTTTAATGTCACTACTGATCCATCGATCACATGCCTCAATCGATCGTCCCGAACCGGGTTGTTGAGTGTTTTTTCGTTATGCTACCGAGTTGAACTTTTTCACTCGAGGTCATATCGCGGTTAGTTTAAAAATGACTGTGCACAACCGATACAAGGACACTGCCATCATTCATTTGATGATGGACTTCGGTTCAATCTAAGTAAAGTTTTGCTGAACCACTTGCAGCCCAGTTAGTGTTTAAAGCTTCCCAAAATCAGCAACATTTTCGAGCTCGCTTAAGTTCGCTGGGTGCCATGACCGAAACTAGATTGAAACACGAAACAAAACCAAGAATTCAACTTGCTGAAGTGCTTCTGCTGAGCAACTGGAGATGTGCTTCAGTGTCCAGTTTATCTCGTATAGCTCCCCAGCCTCATCAATATAGAAACTGTGTGTTTGGGCAGAACATAAGACCTTTCTGTGAATATCAAATCATCCTTTGTCATTTTGTAATATACCGACTTAAATCTTTAGTATCCGATTGTTCGATTTCTTTGTGTCGGTAACATCTTTAGGGTTTACAGGTACAGTCATTTTGAGCACAGTCTTCATTCAGACATGCCTCACGGTCTTTAGGTTGTTAGTCTAAAGATGTTACCATCCTCTGGTTATTTGGTACACGTGGATGACCCTCACAAATCTTTCCACTACTGCGGGTTTAATTTCTGAATCACGTGTTGACGTGTTTTACTCAAAGATGGGCTTTTCACTGCTGTAAGAAACCAGAATCCAAGGATTATCTGTTCTCTTTCTGCAGGTTAACCACATACCCAACTGTGGTATACTGACAAACAAATTGGGACTCCTGCTCAGTCTCCGTGAGTATGAACGCCGATATCAGCTTCGTTACGGAAGAGCCCCATCTGTGAGCATGCACGATTTCTTCCCGGAAACCTACATTGCGGATGACCCAGTTGAACGTGACGCCTTCTTTGCAGCTTACGAAAGTAAGCGCTACTTCATCTTATATTTCCACTGTTTTGGAAACCCGTTGGTTACACAAACTAACAACTTAGGCAAACTTATAACCAGGTCGGAATTTTATTTTTGACTTGAGCTACTCAAAGGTTTAGAGTAGTTGCAGGTGATTGCATAACTCGAGTTCACACGGATCTCGTTTGAAAAGTTATTCTCCTTTTCTGGCGCAGTTATTCTGGTGAATCTATGCCGAGGTGGAAGAACTGACCTCGAGTTTCGTTCCTGAACAGTGCATGCCCTTGATTGTGTCGGGGTGTGAGCCCTGGGTATGTGACATGCGAGGTGAGCGTCTGACTGAAACTCTAACAAGATATCTAGACGGAGAATAACGAAACTCTTTACGAGTAATTGGACCATGGAGCCTTCTTGATACACGGGTGTGAAAGTCCAATTTCGTTTCCTCCGCACGACTGGATTAAGCAGGTTGTTGTAAGTTGTGGCGTTCCTTATCCCCGAGGAAGGACAGGTTAGAAGAGGACGGTTCTAAAACCACCAGTTCCAGCTGCCGACTGGAAGATCAATACTGCCACTGAATTATTTATTTTAATGAAACTACTTATAAGGCTACACCCGATGAGTCTTGAAATAGATCTGCTGGACGCGGCACTACTGGAAATCAGACTTCTATGTCTTGATCTCAGTAGTGTCAGGATAGCCAAACTTCCGCTGACAAGTAGGTAAAACTTTGGGTCATGATGTTCGAGGACAGTCCGCCAGGATGAACCTCACATTCTCTCTGCGGATATCACTCTTTACTTAAAAGATAAAAGTAAAATTCCATATTTATCCATCGCCTTAATATATGTGACATTCCGACTCCCTGTCTTTTCACAGTGTGCTGTCAACTAACTGTCCTTGTTTGTTCAGTTTAGAAAACCAAAGATGATCGTATCCCATGACGGCACTGGCAAAAATGCCAAATTGTAGACTCGTACCATATCTCTTTTTGAAGCCACGTTCTCAACTTCAAGGTCTGCACACAAAATCGCATTCCACTAGTGTCTGTTTATCGTGCATCTAGTTAGAGACATCAGAGTTCACCGTCAGCGGGCGAAACTGCCCAAACTTCTGTATTTCTGTACTTCTATACTTCTGTACTTCTGGACCTCTGTACTTCTGAGTATACCACAACGAACTTCATCAGAATAATCAACCAGCACAGACTCCACTGCAGACCTTCGAAGATTGCCTAACGAAAAAAAGCACAGATATCACAACTGCTCCTGGTGACTTAAATCAACCAGCGAAGGTGAACGCCAAGTGGCAATCGTAATTTGGCGTTCTACCCCAAATTTGGACGAGGAGAATATATATAACCAGGCTGGTTAGAGTATGGTCTTTTGGAAAAATGCTTTTCAACAAAAACACTTGGAACTTGTGCCTTGGTTTCCTCAAAAATAACAAATTTCCAGCTATCGTTATCGATCGAGTGTTAGAGACCGTCTTTCCTTTCGGGACAACCTCATGGACCCCAACTTGGGTTCCAGTTCACTTGAACTTACTGTTTCCGCCAGTAGATTTAGAACCTGCTTAGTAATCCCTGGTAGAACAAATGTGTCAGAGCCAGTTAGCTAAAACGTACTCAAAAGAGGCTCTGACAGACAAACCGAAGACTACAACTATTCAGCATATCCGCCTGTAAACCCAGTAGCAGAACCAGCGACGAAAATTTGAAGGTTTGAATCGATCAGTTTAAAAGGGACTTGAAAAGGATAAATGAGAAAAGTCAAGTAAATTGAAAAGGCTTTCACCATCAAAAGCCGCTCTATCCCCTTCATGTTGGATAGAAGACCTGTACAAAGATAGCAACAATAAGCCGAGTGACCCTTGCCACGATGCCACCCGAGGGAAGCACGAGGGCTGGGATACTAACAGGTTGCCCAAGCCTAGACAGGGGAAGTTGAGAGCCAGAGGTCGGGTTCGAACCACACGCCCTCCGGTCAGTAAATTCGCGCTTTAACCAATTGAGCCATCCCATAAAGTACACCTGTAGCCTGGGCTGAAAACACTGCTCATAAGGTTGCTGAAACTCCTTCAACAACCTCATTATGTCTGGATATGTTGCGATATCAGAAATATCATACCAAAGGAAAAATAAGACAGTCTTATGTAACATTTCTAATTGAAGGATACCACCACAGAATAGAGATTCAGCTGGATTCAGCTGAATGAAAACGATAATATCTGATAAACACCTGTGGCTTATTTACAAAGGAGGGCAGGACACCTTGAATATCAGTCCAGTAAGTCTCGTTTTCTAACGACACCACTGACATCCTCAGCAAAGGTGGAATGAAATGTCAGCTTTCCACTTCACCGTGGAGCAAGTATATGTGAAAATCGACAACGTCGTTTAAGTCCAGAGAAAGCGTGGAAGCATTTTTCATGGTGATGTGTGTGTGATGCGTCACACAGGCCCTAGAGAGAGACGGAAGCTTCAAATTTGCGTCTTACTTGCAAAAATGGCAGTAGAAAAGTTTGCAGTTATTGATAAGGTGTTGAAAAGTTGGCAGCTCAATTGCACTTGTTGAAAATTCACCATTCATGTGCTCACTCCGCCTATGTACTGTTGACACCCCATCACCCACCTTGCCGCAAAGGGCTTCCCGTCCTGTCTGACACCTGTGTATTGACATGTGTGTGTGCGACTGTGCGCAGCTGACCTACTTAGCCATGCGCGCTCACGTCCCGTTTGCTGAGCCTGCCTTGTTTTCTCCGTGGGATCACATGTCCAATAGGAATCACGAGACTGCCGTCGGAGTGGACGACCGCGACCCAAGCTACTAAGCCACCATTCCGCTCGCCATTGTTTGGTTTGCGGACGTTGGCACTGCACTGTTTTAGTCAATGACAAACCTGTAAACTTGATGACGCTACGAAGGTGAACAATTGAGGTTTGTTGTACACATTTACTTACACTTGTGTAAATATTACCATAGAATTACGAACCCAATTCTTCCATTTGGTTTTCAGGATTGAAGAACCTATGCGTCACTCAAAGTTCCGCATCGATAATCTCAACACCAGGTGTCTGTTGATCTGTCCACAGAGCTCATCATCTAGCTTGCAAGTCAGTTGCCAAGCTTGGAGACCAAATTGACAGCCACCTGAGGAACTGGCCATTACGGAGTTAGCTAGCTAATCGCGGTTCTCCAGGAAACTCTCAATGGCCTTAACTTTAACGATTCGCTAACTCCCGAGAATAGCGAACTACCGAAAATCGGGTGGGCTTGCACCCAGTTCATAGGTGCATCAACCGACAAATTTACGAACATCTCCGCACATACAGGTGGTCAAAAACGATCGGTTTTCTTGATCTGAAAGCAGTATTTAACCCACTCAGTTGCTGTTTCGTGAAACTACCAAACTAACTAATACATTCCACTAATTTTATGTTCATGTTTCCTCTCACCGAATCTAGTACCCGTACAGGTCCACAGAGTTTTGCACAAAAAAGTGACCTTCGGCAGGGCTGACATCTCTAGCCGTTTCTTCAAAACGCGAAATCACAGTGGTGACCACTGGAACTGTCCAGCTGCTGATGACAGGAGTGAGAGGAACCCAGTGACTTAGAGTACGGGGATGATGCCGTACGGCTTGTTCCAGACTTCGGCACAAGCCAAATTGTATTATTCTATTTGGCATGCCTTGTCCCTAGTCGGGGGATGCATTTTGCACCGCAAAATGGGAGCATTCCACAATTGCAATCCGCTTTTTGCCGTGTTGCTTAAACGAGGTCCTAAGTACAACTATTCTAGAAGCTACGTCATTCTTTCCGTAGCATTACTGACGATTTGGAAACTAGAAACAGGATAGCCTGTTCGATTCATTAAAACTTGGCCCAGATGTGATGTGAGCCTGTCGGAAAGAGAATGGCTCAGAGTGCTGCGATGCAACCAGTGTCGTTCAACCACAGCAAAATGAAAATGATATCGGATGACTTCCTGCCTTGGTTCATCGACGCTTGTGTTGCGGGAACTTGTTATTGTTCACGTCGGGATACTCTATAGGGCATTCGCAACTGCGAATTTGCCTTGTAAATGAAGTAAATCTATGCTGAGAAACCAAGAAGCACTGTGCAGTTGCTTCGCCTCATTGGGAATGGTCAGCCGTGCGCATCTTACAAAATTCTTGGAGGTTTTCGAACATTCGGCTGGTACTTTTCACATTTCATCATTCGGCCAAGCGCTGATGAGTAGCGGTGCAAGCAACTGGCACTATTCCACAAAATTTCATCAGCTTTGTTGACTCGGCAATGTAAACACGTGCTCCTAACCCGTTTACACACCCGATTAGTTCAGAAAGTGACTAAAATGAAGTCACCGATGGAAACGTTTTGAGTTTGTAAATGTTATATCTGCTGATTAACCGGCCTGTGGTATCTGCTGTTGAGCCGCTCAAGTGCCTAGTGTCGGAGAGAAAAAGGCTCACGGAAGGGAACACAATAGCTATATTCCAACAAAGTGGTTGCGAGAGCGTTGGTGCGTGCGAGTGCGAAAAGTACAACGGCCTCAAGCTTTTTATTGGAAGGACACTGTCTGAACTTGGTCCAATGCTGACGCACGCGGTCTGGCTTTAATACGAGGCAGCGACGTGCTGCATATTGAGGGGGCGTTGTCTACCTGGTTAACATCTAGCGGACCTGAGAGTCTCGGTAGATTTCGGGCATTCAGTGGTTGCTTTCAGGAAGCTGACCTTCGTGATAGTAAAGCAGCTCGAAGCATCGATTTTCAAGGTCAAGATCGCACACGCCATTTACTGGGATAGGTAACTGAAGTCTCACCTAACCCTTGGTTGCAGACCCTATCTGATATATCCAAATCGCCAGGTAAGTGGCACTCTTGTGATCATTCAGATACTTTCGTTTGGTAAATCTGCTGTGCCCCGTTCGTCTCCGTAACTGCTCCAAGTAAGACTTTGTCATTCCTACTGGTGAAAGGGGTCTCTGACTACCCGAATAACGAAGGTCTCATAGGAATTTTGTGGTTGGAAAACAGAACAGAACAGAGCAAAGTTCTCTCTTGGCTGCCCAGAAGCAGAGCATTCATAACAAACGTAGCTGGGTAAAACCGATCCATCCGGACTTTCCGAGATGACTGAGGTTTTTATCCGTTTTCATACTGATCCCCAATGAAGAGTTCAAATCAATAAACCACTCATGTTTGTCTGTATCTCCCTTCAGGCAGTGAGACAAAAGTCTGGATCAGTAAACCGATCGCGATGAATCAAGGCAAAGGAATATTCCTTGTACGTGATATCAGCGTATTTAAAACCATTTTGGAAGATCGTGACAATGAAGCAAAGGCACTATCGATTGGACTTGCTCCCAGATTAATCCAAAAGTGAGTACTTGGTCCCATCAGGACTCAAGATTTTCATTCGCTTTGAATAAGCATGTTTAACCCCTCCCCCAACCATATTTTTTGCCCCAGATATATTGCACACCCGCTTCTTGTGAATGGCCACAAATTCGACATCCGTTGCTATGCTCTTGTTGCCAACACAATGCCCTATCTGGTTTTGTATCATCCGGGCTATGTTCGACTCTCAGCGCACTCGTACCACCTCAGGGATGACAATCTACAAACTCATCTGACTAATCAGGTAAGGGAATGCTCACACTTGCATTGTTGGCCTTTGCTTCTTGCAGCGTCAACATGAAGGTGATTGTCTGAAAACAGCATTTGATCTCGTAGAAAGTTTTTTTTCTTGTAGGGTCCGATTGGCTGAAATAGAACGCATTAAATGACCGTTAATCTTCAATCAATTGGAAAAAGTTTGGAACCGATTGAGAAGTCATCGTTTCAGAAGAGCTTGGTAAACAATCGGTGGCTTTTTATTTGGGTACCAAGGTCTACATAGGACAGGCGGTCAGGGAACTACACATCAGAATCGGAGAGCATAGTAGAAAAATAAACAGACCTCCGAGAAATGCAGGTGAATATCAAGCGTTACTTAAAGATTCGGCAATCGCGGAACACGCACTGGACACGGGGCACAAAGTAGACTTAGAAAATGTTGAGGTTTTGAGGCCAGGACTACGGTCCACGTCAGAGTGACTGATAGCCGAGGCGGTAGAAATCGCCAAGCATCCCAGTGTTAACAGAATGGAAAGCGTGGAACTGGCAGGCGTGTGGAGAACGGTCTTGGGTCACTCGAGCTAACCAGTGTTGGTGTGCGATTATCAGAGGGATTCCACTTGACTTGGATTCCACCTGACCTTACACACCTCCCATCCCCCAACTAAATTGTCGTAACATTCACATGCCCACGAAGATCAAGGAAAACCTACCAGCGGTACCCAGGGTGAATCATCAAGTAGAGCACCCTGAAGTGGAAGACTAAGGAACGAAAAGCGACCAGAACTAATTTGAAACTCCTCCACCCATCGATTTCAAGATTCTGGAACCCACACTAGTCGACAAGAGCCGTTAATTGATACTCAACACTGCCCTAGTGTGAAGAGAACTTACTGATTGGTTCCCCGTCTGTCTTATAACCTAGCCAACTTAGTGTCCTGTTCACTTGGCCTGAGCTTTTGTATCAAAAGCGAAACGTTTCCCAAATAAAAACCACCGGTTGTTTACCAAGCTCTTCTGAAACGACCGTGAATCTTGTCCAGCTATACCGAGCAGACTTTTTTTACACATCATCCGTCTATTTGATGCAGACTCACAGGGATGTTCGTCGCTGTGAAGCGTTTCGGTTTGACTTTTATTGATGAATCTATAACTGGTGCTTTATACTCGATATTTTTGGAGAGCAGAATCACTCGTATGTTGCTACACCACAGACTTCGTAGAGTTTGCACAGTCTTCCCAACACAGTATCTGCTCATTCCACCAGCTTCGAGTATACAGAACTTTAAGTATGATTTAACAAATAGCCTTGAAGATGAAAGGTTCGGAAGTTGCGCAACCTCTAGTTTTTTATTTAAAAAATCAAATTCAGCACTTCCTGGGTCCACGCTTGTTTGTACAATACGCTACCAGATTCTTGGTCGAACAGAACTGCGCCGTATGCTTTTTTGGGTCGCTTGGGTCCCCGTTCACTCTCCGCTCCTCAGATTCTCGTCATCTTTACCTATGGACCTTGGTAAAATGGTGAATCCTTGTCTCTTCCTCGGATATTCGGATACTGCCATCACAATGTCTTCCTAATTTCGGGTTAACAATTCATTAAGGAGTTGCATCAACCGAACAGAAGACAGACTTTTGTATATGAATTACTTGAGTTGACGAAATACACTCATTTGCGTACGAGTTTGGTTTTGATGAGAGACTCACCTGGGGACCAGCTGAATCTCTCGTTTTTAGGCTGTCGAAGAGTTTTCAGCAACCTTATGAGTAGTGAATTACTTAAGTTATTCTCAGCTCCAGCTGCGCAAGGTAGGCGGATACGCATAAAACCTCGTTCATGATAGGGTGACCAGATAGCATTGATCTGTTCACCGAGCTTGGTAATTGGTTTGTCAACGTTTCGCCCCCAGTCGAAGACACAATATCAGTGCGCAGTCTAGTTCTCTTCATCAGCCAATCAGCACTCAACATAGTCCATGCTACCAACGCCACAGCACTTGTCGCAGGGACAGCTCTGATTGGCTGTTTCAGTGTACTGCACCACCCAAAAGATTGTTGTAGGGGGTTCGGTTCAAGGACGCGAGAATCGACCGTTTTTTACTTCAGTCAGTCGAGCCATTTAGGAAAACCGCTCAAACAAACGAACGGAAAACATACATAAATAAGAGAGCGTGTACGATCAGACAATGGCAGGCTACTCAACTTCCAGCTGATCCTTGTTGACTAACCGATTGCATAAAGGGGGTAATGTAATGCATTTTATTAGACTTCGCTTCTACCGTATAAGAATGAATCAGGCGACTTAACACCGGTTTTACGGCATCTGTTAAATGCCATCTGGTCACTGAACCAAACCGTTTAGGAATGATCCTCCGGCACATCAAGCAAACATAATTAAGCAATTCGCTGTAAGAGCAGTAAATCTTTTGAGAAAGGTGTCACAGCGACAGCAGTGAGCCAACGCAAACTGACTAGTCGGTACGTTTCGATAATAGCACATGTTGAAGTTTGTTAGAGAGAAATCTTTCTCGGCTGTTGTTTTTCACTCGAACTGTAGAATAGCCGATTATCTTGATGGATGATAAATTATCACTACGTTGTGCACGGTGCTGATGTGCCGAACTTCCAGTCTGCAAACTTACCATGCTACTTATAATCAATAAGTAGCTCAGAGGAACAGTAATTTCGGTGGAAGCTTCCTTCTGAGTAGTCGGCCCTCGAGGAGAGAGAGAATAACGGGACACCGACTTGTGTTTGAGCTAAGCGGTCTTGATGCGTGTGGTTGTCATTGCATTTTCGGATGATGTACCGATCTGTTCGCCTACTTCTCGTTTCTCTTTGTCACCACGAAGTCCTTCATACAGACTTTTTTACCCGAACTCTTGCCTTGGTAATACTGGTCGACTTTCCTTGCTCTCCCTGGTTAGATTGCGTGGCTACGCTCTGTTTTATCGACGCTAAGTATTTCTGTATTCTTATCCGTTTTCTAATGAAGTCACCTCATTTACACTCAAATGGGTACTGTAGTAAACTTCGTTCACCAAACGCAATCTGATCGATATCAACTTGCTGATCGTAGTCATTTCGAATACAAGTTTGGTGAAGGCAGAAAGAATCCTTATAGGTCATTCCATCTCAAGATGGCTCACTGGTTAAAGCATAAACCTAATAATCGGAGGGCCCATCGTTCGAACCCGACATCTGCATCTCAGCTGCTCTGGTCTAGGTTTGGCAACGCGGCATTACCTCAGTCCTCGGGTTTCCTTATGTTGGTATGGCAGCTGGGCAGAGGAAGGGTGCTGCATCTGAGCCAGTATTTTTCATTCTATTCTACCTCGTCCGGCGCGGGTGTGAGCAAACACCACACGACTGGTTTTGCGCAAGAACGGTTGAAGAACACAGGGAACCGAAAATTGTGTCACGATCTGGCGACTGAAACGTTTAAAGTAGGTAATGCTATGATTTCACTGAACAAAATAAGCCATGTGGAAAGCGTTGCTGAATAGTTTTCAGAAATGTCATGAATGCTGTTGGGTCAAGATACGAAGAACTCATTTATCAAGGTAACTGTGAAGGGGAAACTATGCTCGGGAAAATGGTGTGACAGATATTACCTACCAGAATTGAATACAAAATAAACGATTCGTACATTACCGAGTGCTTGTGGCCGTTAAGAAGAGACTGGAACTTACCGTGGTGTGGCGGCCCATTGAGCTATACTGGGGAGTGTCCACATGGCACTAACAGAATCTCTCGTACCAGCTTGGTCCATGGGTAGAGGTCTGACGAACTCAGTCTCCTGGCCTTCCAGGTTTGGGGTCGGAAAATTGTGGCGACGTGTTCTGTAAAAATGGTTTTTTACTTGCACTCCCAGCCCAACACCGCTGCCCTGCGGTTGGGCATTTGAGCAAAAGGCTTTGCTTGAGGACCCTAATTGTCCCCCTGTCTAGGTGTGGGCGTCCTGCCAGTATCCCAGCCCTCGTACAACCATGAAATTCATAGATATATGGCAGTGAAGCATCAGTATCAACAATGATGTCGCTATCGTGTGAGTAACATCATTGACCGCACTGACGAATGGACTAGAACAAGTTCGAATCGCTGATAAGACAGGTCCGTCTCAACTGAGAAGAGACATTGAGAATACAATATGGAATATAACCTTTCAAGTGTTTTCTGCACTCCTCATAGCGGTTTTTCGACTTTCTCCACAAAGTTTCTAGGCTTTCAGGTGAGATTTCCTCCTGTGAGTGAATACAATTCCAGCTGAAGAGGCAGGAAGCACTGTACAGCAATCTTGCAATACACCAAGAGGTTTTGAACCCGCGACCTCCTGGCCAGTCGTTTGAACACTTAACCATTCGGTTGCGAGCAGCTGATACCGGTGTCCGTGTCTAGCTCCAGGAACGGAGATCATATATACGGTTGGATAGCATGAGCAATATTCACAGAACCTCTAATGAAGGAGATGACTTAAAGTTAGTGGCTGTTCTTCTTCGCTTAAAGGTGAGTAGAGTAGGATTTTGGAGTGTCAGTTTTCCTAATGCGGCATTACCATAGTCCTCCTGGTTGAGCATTGGCACCATGAACTTGATTTGTCCGAGAAGGTGTACTACTTGCAAACTTTCTAGTAGTTACATTGCAATCATAAAATGTACAGCGGTCCCATGTCTTGTCATCGTCAAACTTCCATCCACGGTCTACTTCACCATTCAGTACATTCAAAAGAAGTCCCCCAACTATGCTCAGGTGAAGAATGAGACGGTTTGGACGATCGATCAGCTGAATGACTACATAAATCGATATTACCGAGTATCAAAATGTCTTCCCTTCGATTGGGTGAAGACCGTGTTGCAAGTAAGTGACCGACATTTGCATTCCCGTTCTCTTGCTATGTCGATTATCTTTGGGTTATGAATGTTGGAAATTTCCAAGGTGTTCATATACAATATCTCCATTTTTGAAACTGTTAACCCCTTAGGCCGTGCACATTTAGTTCTCTAACAACCATCAGCAATGTTGTGGAATGTAGGTAGCTCGGGTGCGCTGCTTGGTTGTTGGTCTGTTCGCCGAGGTTGACAGTTGGATTGCAAATGTTTCATCAACAATTTAGACGACATCATCAGTGTAGGGTTGGGTGGGTGAATTCCTTCCCTTCTGCCTGTGATTACATAGCATCCAAAGAGTATCTGGTAGTTCTAAAAGCAGTCTTCGCGTAGTTTGATTGGCCTCCTGTGAATCTGACGTGGTCTCAACCTCCTGTGTCTGACTGGTTCGTTGGGCGCATTCAGTTCGGCAGTTCTGTGGGTGGTTGTTCTCTTGTGATTCGGTCGTTTTCTTCTTGCTTTGTGGTATGAGTTTGTTCCCTTGATTGGTTGATTCAGTGGCCTTCTGTTTTGGTGATTGTCTTCTTTGATCCAATTATTCGGTCGGTTGTCGTTAGGTTTCAAGTAGAACATAAGGTTGACATAAACTAGGGGACTGCGCCTACCTGATGAACCCAAAGAAGGACGAACCCTGTCGTGGGCTATCGAGAAATTTTCAGCAACCTTATGAGTAGTGAATTACAAAACTACATATATAGCGATATCCCGATTTCTCTTTTTTGGCAGTTGAACTAAAGACCATGCTCATCCACATAGTAGCACTTTAGCGAGAACAAAGACCGAAATAACCCTGATTGTCTGAACGGCTTAAACAAGCTGGAAATCTAGATTCCTTCGGAACGCACCACCAGACGCTGGGGTAGTTTCATTGGGCAGAATTGATTGCTTACTTTCTCAAAGAATGTTGGAAAAATATTCTACCTCGGTTGCTACAGTCCACGCAAAACAACCCGTCAAAGCCATCACTAATTAGACTGAACCGGTGTTCTGAGTGTCCACCGAGGGTTTTCTAGCCTTACGTAGATGATACTTCCGTGGTGATAAAGCGAGATAAGAGGAACGAATTCTTTCAGTATCTGAATACTTTGGACCCTCACATTAAATTTAGCATGGAGCTAGATTTCGGTTGGAGTACAATACCTTTCCTTGACTGCATGACACACAAGAGTGGTGGGAAATTGAAAACCACTGCTTACCGGAAATCAGCAGATAGCGGTGTGGTTTTAAACTAGTCCTCAGTGCATCTGAAGGCAGTATATGCTACTACAGTTTCAGCGATGTTTAGGAGAGTGAGAGCACTGTTTACAGAGGAGGTCGACCGAAGAGCAGCAAAACTTGAGATGAAAAAGCGACTTCAAGATAACGGATACCCAGTGGGATTAAGTTAAGCGGCAAATAAGACGGCTATTGGTGCCAACACCAAGGCCCAACAAGGAGTGGATCGGAACAGCGGTCAGGGACATCTGAGGTCATTAGAAGGGTACTGAATACGGCTAACATTAGAGTAGCTTTCCAGAAGGGGAAGAGTTTACGCTCGGTGTTGGTGCATTTGAAGGATTGGCTTCCGGTTGATAGGACTAGGAACTGTGTGTACAAAATAAAATGTAACGACTGTACGAAGGTCTATATAGGTCAGGCAGCCAGGGAATTGCACACCAGAATCGGTGGGCAAAAGCGTTCAATTATTACGCCACCGAGAAACGTAGATGAATACCAGGCAATAGTCAAAGAGTCGGCAATTGAAGGGCATGCACTAGACACTGGGCATAGGATAGATTTAGAAAGTGTGGACATCCTGAGACGGGGTTTAAGATTCACACTACAGCGAGGCGGTGGAAATCGCCAAACATCCCAGCGTGAATAGAATAGAGAGGATAAAACTTGCGAACATGTGGAGGGCTGCATTAGATCAGTTGAGATAACACAAGGGGTTGTGCAGTTTATAGTTTGGGTCTACAGGTATAGAATCCAAGTAGAGTTAGATCCAATTAACCTCCTCCACCACTATCTCCAAACCAATTGTCCCAGCACCCTTTGACGAACACAGGTGCACGAGATCTGTGAACGATGCCAAGAGGAATTTTCCATTAAGGTGTCCTAGACTGAAAAAATCAAGGACGAAAAATCTGGGTTCATCATGAAGACAAATCCTTCCCCCTAACCAATCTATCGTGAATGTTAGTCATTCTCACTAACCAACAAACAGGAACATCAGACTGAACACCCAGTACTGATCAAGTTGGCTAGTCGTAAGAAATCTCACGGATTGGTTCGCTGACTGCCTTAAAACCCAATCAACCTACATACTTACTCACTTGGCCTGACGAAGCTTTTGTGTCAAAAGCGAAATGTGGCCCAGCAATAAATCCACCGATTGTTTACCAAACCTCCCTGAAACGGCGACTTCCCAATCAGTCCCAAACACTTTCCAGTTGATTGAAAAGACTCTCTAAGTCCCCCTAAAATAAACTATAAAATACTGTCTTTAATTAGTTGTCCCCAAAGTTCTGTTCTTGTTAGTGTTTGCATCTATGAGAACTGACGAAAGTGCGTTGAAACGTTGGAAGTTCGTGGTTTATGTTTTCTGGCCCTTCTAGTGAAATGAATCAGACGGGCCCGTGTTCCGAAGCACTTAAACGCCATCGGCCAATGACAACTCTGCTTAATGCCTGACGGTACAGGGAATGTCACACCAGAATCCGTGAGCATAAGAGGAAAATAAACAGGCCGCCGATAAACGCGGAAGAATATCGAGCGTTACTGCAAGACTCGGCAATTGCAGAACATGCACTGGACATGAGACACAAAATAGAATTAGAAAATGTTGAGGTTTTAGGCGAGGACTACGGTCCACATCACAGAGACTGATGGTCGAGGTGGCAGAATTCGCCAAGCATCCCAGTGTTAAAAGGACGGAACTGACAAATGTGTGGAGAACGGTTCTGATCAGTCAAGCTGACACGTGTTGGTGTGTGGTCATCAGAAGGAGGATTAGTCATCATGTGGATTCCGCTTGACCTCAACTCACCCACCCACCCCCAACTAAATTGTCGCAACAAGCACAATCCCACAAAGATCAACGAAATCTATCAAGGACAACCGCGATGAATCACTGAAGATTGAATTGAAACACATTGGAGTGGAATGTAGAGGAACCACACCCGGTTATAATTAATTTGAATCTCCCTAATCCATCAACGCAAGATTTTGACCACCACATGACCGACACGAGCCGTTAATTGACACTCAACACTGATCTAGTGTGATAATCTGGAGGTATTACTAATTGGCTCTCCGTTTACCTTAATACCTGGCCAGGCTGGTGATCTGTCCACTTGTGTTAAAAGCGAAACGTTGTCCAAATGAAAAAAAACTACCGATTGTTTACCAAGCCCTTCTGAAACGAAGGCTTCCGAATCGGTTTTCAAACTTTTTCCAATTGCACTGTTGGATTTTTTGCACGAAACGTTCACTTGATCCTGATGACTGTACCAAGTGTATCTACACCACAGATGGATGGCACCGATAGTTGACTGCGTTTTAACTGGCCGAACCAGCAGACAGTTAAAGGTCGAGTTCAGTGAAGACAAAGCACATTATCGGACCGTTTTAACAAATGTGAGCGTGACTCGGCTGTCGCGCTCTATGCTTTGTGTTGAAAATCACTGTGTCAAGTCAGGTAACGTGTACGTGATGTAAGCGAAATCTCAATGTGTGCGCACACAGGTGCTGTGTTGATCCAGCGGTTATTCCGGTGGTGTCTTCGTTCGTCAGTGGATCTGGAAGCGTCGAGTCCCCTTTCATTCGTTCCGAACAAATCCATCATGAACAGGCAACCAAAGGACGACAAGACGCAACTGACACAGCAGACCAGTCCCGAGACCAGGCGTCAAATATACACAGGACATCGTACTACGTGCAAGCGGTGTGATATTCACACCGATTGTATCACGTGACAACGTAGTGACCAGTCTTCGTCCAGCTTTTTTGGCACTGTTTGATGCCAGTCACTTGTTCCTTAATGAAGGTCACCCGCAGTGGTCGAAACATTTCACGTAGTAGATTTGATGTTCAGCCATCAGCATTTTACTGCGATTTAAAACGTTTTAGGGATAACTAAAATCTAACGTGCTGGTTCCCGTCATCGTTCAGCTGTGACACCCTTTAGGCTCATAAGGAGCACGAATAATGAAACACTTCCAGGTTGCCCAAGCCTGGGTAGGAGCAAAGGTTGGGCTCGAACCACGAACCTTCCGGTCAGTGAGTTCGTGCCATAAACACTGAGCTATCTTGAGCTCATTGATTCCCGTATTCCACTGTGAATAAGGGATGAAATTTTAGCGGGAAATTGCTTCGCCAGGCACACCATCCAAGGATACTTGTAACCATCACACCCTACTACGGTTGCTGCAGTCACTGCACAATGTCTTTCTAGCATTCCTTCACATCTTGGAATGAAGGACACTCTTTGGTTACAAAGGCCCTGGCGAATATATTACCCGACAAGGAAACTCAACATCAGCTTGGCTGTTGATAAACATATCCTGTTTGGCTGTCACACAAAAGAAGTCCAAAAATCCGCACATCATGCAGTCTCCTTATCGATTTGAAGGACGTGACTTGATTTGGTCTTTCACTCCTCTGAAGGGGGAATCAGTTTCGAGAGTGTACCACGCGTGTAACCCGAAGTAGCGCTGCCGAAGCCACAAAGTATAACAGAACATCAGATGCGGATATTTTATTCCTACGTTTGTCAGTATAACAATAGTACAATATAATTAANTCATCATATCTGTCTTTTCGTCAGAAACTACATCCCTTGTCGAGGTGGTACTGGAATAGTTTGTGTGAAGACTATAATAATACTGCATAATAAAATGTTTTGTTACTTAAACGAGGGTATCGTAACCTCGTAGGAAGAGGATAATCGCTCTGAATTTTCAAGTTAAGTTTATACAACTCATGAATGTTACCAAAAACCCTGTCCTTCACTGGCAGCCCAATCCAAAGCGTTCTAACCATTCCAGTCGGTTTGGGTGTAGTTCCCTCTCTGCAAGTAAAAAAATCACTTTTTTTCCAGTATCGCATTCGGCGCATCATCCACCGAACCTTCCTCGCTGTGAAGAACCGCCTGGCAACGCGATTGGGCATGTTCCAGCTGTATGGATTGGACTTTCTCCTGGATGACCAGTTCCAGGTAAGTACCAGCAGAGCTTTGTGAATAACGTTTATTGGATAGAGCACCACACGGATCAGTGGTGTAGGCGTCTTCTGAATGGCCAGACACTTTCATAATTGTTGTGCACCGTAGTTTTCCTGATGCCCTCTTAATACCGTGAACCCCAGTCTGCATAGCCGCTTGATTTCTGTTCATGTGTGCTGTGTGTGTATGTGTCAAGCGATTCAAGATCCAAGAAAAGGTTGCTCAACAGACTTCATTGGTTCTCATTCTCTTCTGGCAGCGCATCTTTGGTAGATTAGGAACCGCTGAGGCTGGTTCTGCTGGGCTGGCATTGTTCTAAGCCACTGAAATGAAGCGCCTCTAGTTTATTGATCGTCTGCTGTTAGTTGCCTTTGTGAGGCTGTCAAACAAGCCGCAGTGTGCTTCTCCGATGTGATTGGCCCAAAAAGAGGACTGTTAGAAATTAACATTCCCAGAAAGACAGAAAGCTCAAATATGACACATCCTCCTTCCCGAGTCATGGAACACCACTGTACTGCCAATTAAAGTGTACCGTGACACTCGGTGGACTGCAGCTGGCAGCCCAGCCCAGCCTAGCTGACTGGCCGCCCACGAGTACAGTACGGACCATCAGTTGTTGAACACGTCATGCCGTCCATGATGAAGCTCTCAGAGGTTTTCATGTATGAGGGGTTAGTTGAATGGTGCGTCGGCATTCCTGTCGTGACCTACGTCAGCCAAGCTGGCGACCAGTGGGCTTGTGACACACTGTATGTCCCGTGGTAAGCCCTGCCTACCTGGTTGCGCGCCCGCGGTTGATCTCATGCTTTGATTGGGGGCCGGTAACTCATGGGCCAGGGGTAAGCAACATTACCGAAGATACAACGCAAGGGAACGAAGAAGGACGGACGGCCGGGCAAGGGTAGATAGACAGATAGACCAATAGAAAGATGAACAGATGAACAGGTAGACCGATCACGTAGGATGATTAGATCTCGAAGAAATGGATGAGACTTGGATAACACGTTTGAAAGCAAAACGAGCCTGATATAAAGAGGAGTGGAAACGTCACACAGGTTGCTGGTTTTGTGTGTGATGAAGTCAAGCGCAAATCATGGACGATACTAAAAATATGTTAAGTGGTGCTGCATACAACGGTGTTCTTCATCATATTCTGTAACCTTTCACCAGTGTTTTATGTGGCAGTGCCGGATCTCTCATAGGTCATCACAGCTCAATAAACTGTGCGATTTATAAAAAAAAGCCCTCAAACTAAAGTGGAGACTTCCCATCAGCCCATTCCCCTAAACGTCATGCACTTCATTTGACGATGACGGGGTGAATTGAAGGCCAACAAATTGATGGCTGGGGGAAATGAATATCCATCAGTTAGATTTGGGATATTCCCAGCGATCTCCTTGAGAAATGGTGCTGCCCGCCATTCCATAAAGTCAGGTGACTCAAAAAACCGAACCGATTTGACCCTTGACCACTGAATTTAACCTTAACTGGGATCTATCCGGTCTAACTTATTTGGATTTAATGTAAAGTGTAAGAAATGTGTAGCTTTTATTTCTGTTGCGTTTCTCCCTAAAATGAACTCTGGTCAGATTTTTGGAGCCTGAACGGGACTGTGTCTATCATGAGTTCAGATGAATATGATATAGGTTCACATCAATACCTCTTTGTTTACCCAGCCCTGGCTTCTGGAAGTCAATTCAAACCCTGCAATGGCCACAAACTGTGATGCGCTGAAATCAGTCCTACCAGATCTAATTGAGAAATCCATACGTGAGTTCCCAACGGGCTCTATGATTTGAGAGTATCTGCATGGGTCAAATCTGTCTCCCTTTTATTGAGAATGAATACCACTAAATCTTGATGATGAAATCCCACCCTTTCAGAAATATCTGCGTACGAAAAATGATCTATTGTTGACGTAAAACGGACGCTGATTGGGCTAATTCGGTAAAAAGTCGTATAGTCAATGAGATACAGTTAGAATAAAACACTTATATTAGCGTTTGAAATCAGTATACGCTTGTAGTAATGGACCATCCAAGAGACTACATCAAGTAAGCAGCAATTCAGCTGGTACACAGAACGTCATAAGCGAGGAATCCTGTTGGATTCGTTTGAGTCTCCCCCTTAAGAACCAGATTAGCGTACAAATTAGTGTATTTGGCGAATTTCAATCTGGTTGTCAGAATGCGTCCTATCTCTGCCTCGCCTGTTATCCGTCTGTTCACCAGCAGTTCCAGTGACGTCGAAATCGGTAGAGTCGAAAAAGACTCTTGCATTCTCTAAAAGGCTTGGTATGGGCGTACAAGTAACGGTCAAGCCTAAGCGACAATCGGTCACATGACCAGATTCACTGATAACCTGAGGTGCAATCGGGGCGGCCACCTGTGTGACATAGCAAGTCCTTCTCGATCTTGCAACGAAATTCCAGCCTGAGACTTTTATCGTTTGGACAGGTGGTCATGTATGCACAGGGACTATGGTTCAAAACTTTCGTCGACTCTATGAATACACTTATCCCCAACAGCTGCTCGAACTTTACTGGTGCGGATATTTCAAGAAGCTTGTTCACGATGGTTTCGGACCATTCTCAAGTTGTCCACGTTGTACTTGTGTTTGAGAGACGTTCATGGTTTCTGTTGTATTCGACTAATAGAATACCGGTCAGAAAACCTGTGATCTTCAAACCAGCAGCTTGATCGATAGTTATTAACAATTTTGTGTTTTTTAGTCTTCACACTTATGCTACCTTGCGTATAAGAGTTGAGTCGCCGTTTAAAATCCATAGTTTTTATCGGAAATCCAAGGTGTATCCACTGGGTTTCGCCAGCTGTTCATCACACATAATGTGAACTAAGGAGGTAGATAGAGAGGTTTTGAAAGGGTGATCGTTTTTTAACTGGGCTGCGTTTCACCTTCGACACAAAAGCTACATCGGACCAAGTAAGCAGATCAACTAGCTTGCCAGATTTTAAGGCAGACAGATAACCAGTCAGTATAACTTTCATAAAGGAAACTACTCACAAGGTTGCTGCAATTTCTTCGACAGCCCACGACCGGTTTGGTTTTCCCGGGAGACTACATGGAATCTCTCGTTTTATGATGTCCTTCAAATGAGTACCCCGTGAAAACCAAATTGATTTATAAATGAGTGTATTTCTCGAAAACAGTGCAATTTGGGTTCAAGTAGATCATACGGTTGACGGAAACTCGGAGACTGCGCCCACCTGATGAGCCCCAAGAAGGGCGAAGCCTGTTGTGGGTTTTCAGCAACCTTGTGAGTCCTCTACTCTAAGAAAATATACTGCGATATCTCGGATATCGTGTCAACTGAAACATGAGGTGGCCTGAGTGCAGCACATTAAATTGTATTATATTATAAACGAGATATTTTGTTAAGTCTCTCGTGAAAACCAAACTGATTTGCAAATGAGTGTATTCCTAACTCAGTATAATTTATTCTGATTAGTACACGAAAACACTGTAAAGTTAAAAGGTCTAAATCTTGACGGGTTGGAGGATTTTTATCGGGATTTTTCCTTCAATCTTCCAATTCAGTGTGCTTCAGTTGATGATGTATTATTCAGCTTGGACGCCAAAGATAACTTTCGTTGGTCTATGTGGGCTTGTAATTGCACTGACAATTTAGTTGGAAGTTAAATCTAAGCTAATTGCCTCAAAACTTCAACATTTTCCAAATCTAATTTATGTCCCATATCCCGTACATGTTCCGTCATCGTTCATTTTTCAGTAATGCTCGATACTTATCTGCTTTTCTCGGTGGCCCGTTTTTCTCCCGTGCTCTACGATTCTGGCGTGAAGTTCTCTGGCAGTCTGTCCTATATACATCTTAGTTCAGTCATGGTATCCTATTTTGTAGAGGGTCCCTGGTTTCGTTCACCGGTAGGCGATCCTTCACCTGCATCAGTGCAGAGCTCAGTATGTTCCCCTTCTGGAAAACTATTCTTACGTAAGCCGTTTTTAGAATTCCTCGAATGATCTCCGATGTCTCTGGTTTATATGGAATAATAGCAGTCCCAATCCATTCCCTATTGAGTTTCGTCACCGGTACCAAAACCTTTCGCAACTGACGCCTAATCAAACTATTGGGATATCCACTACAATTCGGGGCGCTGTCCGACCAACTTCTGTGCGCAGTGCCTACATATCGATAAGACAATACTAGAGAATACCGACTGTGGATGAGCAGACGAGTAGTTCGAAATTTACCAATTATCATCTGGCTTCTTGTGCGCTTTAGTTTTAATTTCATGCAATCTAAAGAGGCCAGTGAGCCCAGAGTCGATCCTATCCTTTCGGTGCCTGCCATGCCACCCGGAGGAACCAGGTTGCCCAAGCCTAGATAGGTTAATTCGAGAGGCAGAGGTCGGATTGGAACCATGGAACTTCCGGCCAGTAAATCCGTGCTCTACCTACTTGAACTATCTCGCCCCCAAATCCTATCCCCATGTGGAGGTGATCAGTATTGGCGAGTGCATTGTTGAACTCTTTTGCTTCGCTTAGTAGCTACACACATACCCAACCTATGACGCAGGCTTCTACTATAAAAATACCCACCCTTTGTTTTCTTGACTATAGCCTTGCTGAACGTCTGTAACTGACAGTTCGTTTTGTTTCAGATATCATCCTTGAATGCTTTGAAAAGGCACAGCAAGGAGAGCCACTCCTTCCAATGAACGGACTGCCTAACCATAACAGCTCATCCCACAGCGTTAGACTTGAAATTACGGAAGATGTCGATACGGGAGAAAAAACCGATCGCTCCAAACTTTTGGATCGTTTGGGGTTACCAGAAGGATTTGTTCTTATTTACAAGGAATCAGATGCAGCCTTCAGAGCCAGATGGCCCATGGCTCAGTCTACACCTTTAAGGGGTTGGGTAGCCCCTAGATTCAAGCCTCCCGTGCCCCCAGGATACCGCTCCTGCTCCGGAACCCCACGATCAGCTCGACCAGAGATCGGTGGTCAGGATACAGGTAAAGGAAAGGTGTCCAAAAACTCAGATTATGTTTCAGTCAATCAGCTGTCTCTCAAACGGTTGAGGACCAACAGCAAAGTTGTTGAATCATTCCAGCTTGGAGAACAGATCATACGCAATTCCTTGTTGCGGCGTGAATCATCTTTGATTACTCGTCAAAAGAAGGCCTTTCCTCTAAACTTAGAACACGTTGGACGACAGGTTAGCTTACCAGCCCCACTTGTCCAAATTGATAGACCTGTGAAAGCTACCCAGGCTTTCATACCCAAATTCCGAGTACCCACAAATGGTTTGCACGATAGTCTACTACGCAAAAGTATTTCACTAAATGATGTGGTTCGAGATTCGCGTGATGCGTTAAGCCAAACCGTATCGAATCGAAACCCTTCTTTAGCAAAGTTTATTCCTGAAGAAGTGAGACAGGGTCTTGGGAACCGGTTAAGGCCCTTGTTGGCAGTACCAATGTTTAACGACATGAAACAAGATCCAAAAAAAGACAAATCAACAAAACCAACTGAAACTTGTGAACTTGGCACAGCTGATCTTCCAGCACAGGGGCTTGTGAATACTCTGCCTGTCAATGCTAGTTCAACCTCATACACCACAGCTACGTCGCCAGAAAAAGAACTCAGTGCTCACTCCTGAGCTTGTATGTGCCTTGGAGACTTGGATCCTGTAGCACCACTTTGCCATTGCCACGACGCACCTGCCTCACTCCTGAGTATTGATTTTATTTTCACGCATATTCCTTTACTGCTGTCTGGATGACTTTTGGGCGAGAATAACACCATTTTGCACCGTTCTCTTCCCCTTTTTCCTTGCATCACATTAGACTGCACGGAATGGATGACTATCTGTTAGATGAACTGAACGATAGATAAGCTATTTTGCCGTTCAGCTCATTGAGTAAACTGACTAACCACTTTCCCAGTCATAACGGTAATCAACCAAACAGAGAATAGAAGGGAAACTGTGGGAACCTTTCTTCCACTCAGGATTTCATACCGCTAGTGAAGCTAGTCTAGGCTAAGAAAACCCTTAGCACAGATTTCATCTGCTTACGGACCTTTCAGGAGATTCGAACTTGCGATCGATACGTCGCTCAGACACAAGTGACCGATCATAGATGTCACACGACATCTTGAAGGTCATCCGCACGTGATAGGGAAGTCGACCTAAGATCAAATAGTGGTCTCGTTGTGGTAACCAAAGTATCGTTCTATTCGTACGATTGATCCCGCACAGGTGATCATATAGTAAACATTGCGACACAGTGAATTCATTGTCCAGATAGCAAACTGAAGGACACACGACGAGATAGAACCACCATGGTTAAACTGAGCGCGTTGTCGATACCTTCAGACAAGGACGTGTATAGCTGGGAAGCAAAGGGTATATCAAAACAAATCTGTACTACTTTTTTTCAGTCATGTCGAGCGACAATCATTCACTCCTTGCCCAATCAGCAATGTTCAGGAGTGTTTCAAGGAAAACGGGTGCGAGTGCTCCTAGATGTAGTTCCCTCAGAGGCACACCCTCCGTTTGTGTGGATACCTGGAATATTTGACAATTCGTTAGCCTGCGACATAAGACTTCAATGCACACGAGACAGAATCACTCAGGAGTGCCACTCGCATCCTGTTATTTATACCAGTGTTTTTGTGACAGCGATATCGGGCAAACCATCACGGAGACCGGGCTTGTAGCCAGTGTTCTCGACCAAGCCTCACAACACCCCGGCTACATTATTCCTAATATTGTAGTCCATCCATCAAGAGGCTTTACTTCTGATGAGCTGCATAGCATTCTAAAGATATTTTTTTGGAACTAGATACTGTGCGGTGTACGCTTAGCCAGTCTACCAGGGCTGCCGTTTGACTAATTCACGTGAATTCCGCCTCATAACTGGTTCTCATGCGTATCGATCGATTGATGGTGTATGCTGAGGGTTGTGCTACATTACCTCTGTTCAGAGGAACACCCACCTGTCAGCTCATATAACCGGATCTAGACGTTCTTCCTTGAAGTGCCTGAGTAACACTTGCGCATATCTGACAACATCAATATATGAAAAATTGGAATGCGACTTGAGTCACGAGTGGAAGAACACGTTCATATCAAGTAACCGCTGTCCTGAATTTCTTTTCTCTCAGCAGCCATCTTGTGAACTATGGCCAGTAGGTTGAAATTTCTTTATATCATTAATGCACGTGCGAGACCGCATTTGTTAAACCATTTTGAAGCTTCGCTGAGTTAAGACAGGCCTTTGTTTACAAAAACGTCTGATTTGGGCGTGGCGTGTAGCCTGATCCGCGTGATGTGTTTGCGCATTGTTCACTTTCCAGTTAGAATTGGAATTCCGCCTTTCAAATACCACTTTGGACGTTCCTTTCTTCTATACTGATATGATGCTTACAGCACTTGACAAGAGTTTTCGAAAGGATACCATCGTACACACATCGTCTTCTGGGCTATTCGTTGTAAGCTTTTTATCCCATCTCGCTGAAAGGGTCCAGGAATTTGCCCATTGCAATATTCCGTATGCCGGCTCTCTGAAGCCCCCTAAACGTGCGGATTCTGGTACACTCTGCTCTGATAATTTCATCTAAAACATTAGTCCTCTTACATTCATCCGACATCCTTGGACTGTCTCAGAAACAAGCAAACTAACGGTTCCCCTCGTCATTGTGAAACATGGTGTTGTCATGCAGCCATTTTATTATTATACTGAGAGTTAGCGGGACCGCCTTTGCGATGAAAAACCAAAGTGTCATTAATTTATCACACAAGTTCTCTGAATGTCCATATGAATTGCGAAATTGAGGCGATTCGAATGACGCTAAGCATGCATGCTTAGTGTCTTAGTTTTATCCAACAGATCTACACGCGGATTCGTTGTTATTCGGTCGATCGATCTAGCAGTTTAGTCATCTGTTTTGGGCCTCATACCGTACGCGTCACCGCTTGCCCTAACAAGCATGCACTTTTATCCTGTTTGGGACAACCCTCTAGTTCATGACGTATCGTCGAGTACTACTCAGTCGCGCTGAGGTGATACTGGTCGACGGACATGATTATCCTACGAAATCTTGGCTATTGTTCGCAATGCTTTCCCCACTGTCGTACGCATGTCTGTACGTACAGCGCTGCAAAAGGGGGAAATTACACCTCATCCCAATGGCATGTTATACATACTGATCCGACCTCTGTACTTCTGCAATAGCGGTAGGTGTGGACCCATTTTTGAGAGAATGGAAAACTGCCGTTGCCCGTGTGATTGGCTAGCCTGGTACAGAAGTAATTACTCCTCATTTGAAGCGGTAAAGTGACCTAGATGTCAAGGGTGAAACTGTCTCTACATCAGCGAACATACACTCATTTGCAAACTGATTTCGTTTTTCGAAAGACTAACCTGGAACCCAGCTGAATTTCTGTTTTGATGTTTCCAGGCAACTGAACTCGGGGATTGCGCCTACCTGATGAACCCAAGAAGGGTGAACCCGGTCGTGGGATGCCGAGGAGATTGCGGCAACCTAATGAGTAGTGCTTTACAAAAATATATGTATCGCGATATCTCAAATATCGTAGCGACTGAAACATGGGGCGGCCTGGTGCAACACATTCAGTTGCCAGGCCACATCGAAACCGAGAGATTCAGCTGGGTTCCAGGTGAGTCTCTCGAAAAACCAAATTAGTTTGCAAATGAGTGTGTATTCGCTGATTCCGTGCAAATTGGTTTCAAGTAGAACATAAGGTTGACGGAAACTCGGGGACTGCGCCTACCTGATGAGCCCCAAAAAGGGCAAAGCCGGCTTGAGCTGTTAAGGAGTTGTCAGCAACCTTATGAGTATTGCATTACGAAACTATACTTCTCCACATATCCGGGAACTTTTACTCTAGTGCGAGCGCTATACTCCACCACCACAGGCCTTTAATGTCTGTTTAAAATACTCGATTTTCGCCAGGGTGATACATGCCTATGTGGTTCCATTTAGTCTCTCCCCCAAAGAAGAAACAATCCCAGAATACCATCATGACAACATAACGCCCGGTTAGAAGATTGCATGCCTTCTGTTGTTTTGGCAAGTCAACGGTTCGACTGACAGCACGTGACCACTCAAATCGTTCACGTGGCCTTCGCCGAACATGCATAATTCCGAGGATTGACCTGATACGTCCGCACTTAACGTTATGTGAATTCACATAACTGCTTTCACATGTCGGTTGTAAATAAATGGTTGCGTACGGAGTGACAACCGATTCAAACATATTGGCTAAGCGGAAGTATGACAGGTACGTTCTTCGCGAAACATTCCCCATCCAGACTTCCTGCTTATCTACACTAACCCTTTTGTGGATGCCCTCCACTATCTGAAACGTGCTTGCTCAACAGTTCTCCCTTTTTTCCTGTTTTCAGCTTGCGGTGCTGAAGGATGCGTCTGTTGTGAAGGCTGCCAGACAGGTCAAGACTGTACATGTCAACCTGGTCAGTGCACATGCAAAGACTGTCCGTGTGGATGCAAGTGTTGCGAAGGGTGTGCTCGTTAACCTTGAATCATTCATTATAATTTCTCCAAAACAAAGACTTTTTCCCTTGGGACGAAAGGAGTGAGGGATGGGGTAATAATAAGGAAATTCTTGCCTTCAGTGAAACTTCAAATTGAGGAGTAGTTGACTGACGAGATAGTCAGCATGTGTGATGACGTCACGTGGATCCCGTGATTCATGAATGAGTGACGACATGAACTAAATGTGATCACACAGTTGATGAGCCACCAGCGGCAGAACCGGTAAGTGTTCATTATACTAGATTGGAGGTCGCGGGTTAGGAACACATTGAAGTTTCGTGAGATGCGTAATACTGATGATCTCCACAAAGATGAGGAAGCTGTGAAATGCTTCTCTGTTTTTCTTTCAGCAGAGGGCATCTTCACTTGCAGAACGAGTTGTCCACTAGAACCCGTTTGCAAATTCAGCAGCGTGTTAGAAACGAGGCATTCACTTGATTTTACCGTCAATGGCACTGTGTATGGCAAAATATCTGGTTACATAGGCACTAGCCTGAGTTGGACATCAACTACGGAACTTAATTGATTAGCCACAAAAATATGGAAAGTATTGATGGCCTGTCCACACCTTTCATCAGAATTATGAGGGCGGTCGTGTCAGGGAAAATGCCGCAAACTGAGATCATGTTCTGAGAATTCCTTTACTAGCTCTTACAAACTTATTAATCATGTGCAGAATGGCGAAAGGGTGCGCTATCTACGAAACTACTCGACTGCAAAGGAACACGTCTGTCTCTGCGATACTGGGGTTAAAATTATCCTCGAGTCGAACCGGTGAACACCGGTTGAATTCTAAGAGAGCACTTTTTCACTGGAATTTTTGAAGCTGTCATTTGGAACAATATCGCCGCGTCATCCCCTACATATGATCCAAGAATATAACATTCAACCTCATCCGATGCTCCTCAGTCGCTGGAAGTGCAGGGCGAATTGGAATGGGATAGACTACTTACTGAATTTAGTCCAACATTCTTTAAGAGTAAGATGCATCCAGGAATTCGTGGCGTATACGAAGCTGGGGGAGGAAATTTAGCCCCGTTCTATTAAAGTGGACTTCTGTGATCCTCGGATGGTAGA